TTAAACTCCAAAAAGTATTTCATATGATTATATGATTTTGATGGTATGTCATCATAATGTTTTAGTAATTGTCCACAATGACATTCATGATTAAAATGCAAATATTTTTGGTACATCAACAATCAATGAAAAGTGACATTTTTAAATTATTTTACTTTGATCAGGGAAAAACATACACAATCATTTCAGCAGACTTATACACATACACACACACACACACAATTGCTGTTGAGTACCTGTTAGGTACTTTGAGCTGTATAATAAAGGTACTTTGAGCAGATCAAATCACCGATATATATATCCGACCCATTCTGACCAACAGCTCTTTAGCTTCTCTCTGATTGTAGTTTTAAAGTGTCAGTCACTCCATGGTGTAGATTTCAGGAACAGTGTTTTGCCAGTATATACATATACAAATATATATATTTACACTGTACTGTATATATGTATAAATAAATATAAATGGAATTATAGAAAAGCAACAAATTAACTTGTCTCATTTGTGTTTTATTCCAGACAGCGGGTCTGTCTATACTGAGGTGAATTTACCCAGTGTGCTAACTGACTGTTTCAAGACATTCCCTGTGCACATAACCAGCACTGTCATCTACCAGTGTGAGGGGGCTGCCACACCAGATGAGTTTGACACTTACTGTGGATTTTGACAAGATCAGTATCACACATTTCAATGCATATGTCTCGCGTTTGTCACGTCAAGAGCATTTTTAGCTGTTTCTAGTGTTGGTAACCCACATGTGATCGACCTCAGCTGTAAGAAACACTTCTTCACAGTCAATGGTAGAGTCTGCATTAAGTTTATAATCAAAAACATACTTAGTGAAAATGTTTACAACGATAAAACAATTCAAACATTTACTTTATATATATATATATATATATATATATATATATATATATATATATAAAAATATTTTTATGACAAAAAAACGGTTAAAATAAAAGGTCACAACGAGAGCTGTGGCACGAGGACAGTAGAAAAATAGACTGAGGAGAGATGAGGACCAGGGTCGGAAGACGGAAAAAAACAAAGGCTGCATAGAATCAGGATTACAAATCTCTAATGTAGAGAACACAGTTGTGGAGGATCACGCGCTACAAACTCTCAGCACAGCATAAACTGAGAGTCAATTTGTCCATGGTGTCCCGACGGAAACCCAGGTCAGAAATAACCAAATCAGCTCGGTCCTTTCTACAAACAGACAGACAGACTGTTGATGATAAATAGGTGTCAGTGACCCAGTCAGTTCTCAGTAGACTATACGATAGATAATGGATAGAAAAATTATTTTGGTGACAGAGTTAAAATAAAAACTGTGAAGCAGAAAGGCAAAGTGCAAAAAGGTGAAGAAACCCCTGTTCCCACAGACGGAACTGTGCGGTTCCTCTTTTAACATTAACACTTCACAACCCAGCAGCACATTTACTTCCGCTTTTGTCTATTTTTAAAAAGTCGTGCTTTTTTTAAAAAAGACATACTATTCTGTGTTTAGGCACCAAAATGAATGAGGGTATTTGTAATTTCTCCTTCTTCCTTAACTTCCTGTTCTATGATAAACCAGTAAAGCTGTACTGTCTGGTTAAGTTGGTGATTGGTGAACTGGTACTGGTCACGTTTTAATTAAGAAAAACCAATATCTGCATATTTGTGTAAGCTGTGAATCCAATGTGATTCTCGTAGAACTTCTTTTATGATCACGTTTCTTTTACGTACTTCTTCTCTGTGACCACAAACTGGTGTAGCCTGCTGTAAGAGATGTTTTGAAGCTTTGTGTATAATAATTGTGTAGAATTACAAAAGCCACATTGATCATGTTAAATAAATTAAAAAATAAATAAAATTATGTGTGTGTGTGTGTGTGCATGTTCCTGTACTGCATGTTTTGTGCCAACTTTTCCTCATATTCATTAATACTCGTATTCTGGGACAAGATGGAAATCATTGCAAGGACAAATGGTGTGGACAAAAATGCGAAGGACCGCACAAGGGTTAAATAACTCTAGGTACAAAAATAATATAAAAAAGTGTGGACAAGTTACCAAGTTAAAAACGTAACATTATTATAATGTTGCCTCACAGGAGAAGTCCTCATTTCCTACATAGTAAAATCTCCCTTTGTTGCGTTGCAAACAAGTTTAACAGAAGTTGTCCTGAAACTCAGTCACGGCGTTTGCCGTCATCGACCGTGAACAGTGAACTTCTACAGTGTCGGCTACGGTTTCTGAAAACACCAAACGGGAGCTCTGCTGATTTCAGTAAGTAATGATTGTCAAAAACGCAAGAGTCGTGATGATGTTTGGTGAAACACACCAGTGTCAGACCGTGTTTCTAACAAAACCTACATGTTCTGTTTTGATTGTGCCATCGTGGTGATGTGTTTGAGTCTAATGCTAGTGCTGCAGCTATATCTGGGTGTAACTTTTTGGAGGTACAGAATATTCTTCCCAGTACCTGTACATTGAATGTACACATTTCCGACACCTTCCCTTCAGTTTCCTTCATTTTAAAGTGCGGTGAGTTCCACGGTGCTGCTCCACTGATCACAGTGTGTTGTCACTTTGGTGCAAGGAGGAGAAAACAGTGATGTCACTCCCTCTGCGCTGTTCACAGTGAACGTGTTCGTGTGGTGAACAGAGGGCAGAGAGTGATTCGTCCGAGGCTTCAGTCGTCAGGAGGATACTTCCATCACAGTGTGGAGATAAAATGGTGGTGCGTGTCCCCAGAGGCAGGCACCTCTGTGCCGCTGCTGCTATAACTGCTGCTGCTGCACCAGTCTTCTGTAATGTGGCATGACTTTGCTTTCTGGGAGGTACAGCGCCATCTCCAGGGCAACCAGAATGGTAAACTCGAATGATATCAATTCCCGTCTGCTGATCCTGAAACGCTCCTCCAGCTTCTGCAGAGACAGGGACAGACCAAGGAGTGAGACAAAAACAAACACTGGTAGCGTGACAGCCATCTAGTGGCCCCATGGTAAAATTAAAATGACATTAGATACTTGCACAAATGGTGTCATAAAAAACAGTTGCATTCAAAATCAATTTGCTGATAATTAGAAATTCCTTGTCGTCACTGTGACTTTGACAGCTCCACTGTAGAAAAGAGATGTTTCTTTATGAAATGGACACGGTCATTTATATCCACCCTGCCTCCGGTCTAGGTAGTTCACATTCATAAACACCTGATTGTAAAGGGAACGCCATATGTTCGACCGCCCGAGGACATCGACATAAACTGTGTGTGTGGTCACATGTGTGCATCAGACTTACGTCAATGAGGTGTTTGACTTCCTGTTTCTTGAGGTCACTGCTGATTTTAGCAGCCAGTAGGATGCAGGCAGCTGATACCAGCTTCCTGTAAAACAACAACAAACAGCAGTTCAGGAGGCAGGATGTTGTTCTGGACAGTGACGCTCACTGCAGCTGCTCCAACAAATTATGTCAAAATAGGTTGGGTTTTTTTACAGTCTTTAGAAGAAGTGCTTAAAACCTTTACATTTTACGATTAGAAGATCAACTCTAGAAAGTAGTGGTCTACAGCAGTGGTCCCCAAACGTCTTTGTACCAAGGACCGGTCGGTCAGTATCAGCCTTTACTACAGACCGGTAAAACTGCACCATCGTTGAAGGATCATTACATTTTCCAAATAAAATATCTTTAAGACTTTATCCTGTTGGTATCAGAGTCTGAATGATTTATTACTTTGAAACACTGACAGATTATCTTTGAATGGCAGACAGCCGTACGACCGTGAGAACCCCTCAGTTCCTTCTAATGCCGCCCGGTCTTCAGATAATGCACGTTGTAATTTAGCGCCACGCTAATAACAGCAAATTGATCAGAGCACTAGAACAAACGCCATATACACAGCACTGAGGCAGCAGCATGTCTCAGCACGTAGCATTACAGTGTGTGATATCTGTTGATATTATCATTATTACAGGAATCAACCACAATTGCAGCCCATTAATCAGCAGACCCGTCGGCACCACGGCAGAGTCTACCCTCCACAAAGATCCGCTGCTCAGATGAGCTATAATAAAAATGTATTTCGTTGGGAGTTTTCCACTGAGCACTCAAAACACAATGTGCAGTTTTTTACCAGAGAAGGAGCTCTTTGGAGAATAAAACAAGAGGATGTTGTTCAACTTCTGCGCTGAACAAGAGGTGAAACATATCCACTGGAAATTAAACAGTGCTAGATGTTAGATGTTTGATTACAGGAGGACCGGGTGACAAAATACCTGTTCTGTTTGTTGAGTCGACCCTGCAGTACCAGCTTCTCAAAGTAGACGTACGCCATAGCAGTGGTGACCGGCTGCAGGTCACAGTCCTCCCCGAAGACCCTCATCTCCCGTTTAAGACTGACGCAGAAACAGAAACAGAGTATTAACCGAGCCAGTGTGTTCATCAAGATAATCAAAAATACTGACTTCAGTGTTGGTACAGCAAGACCTAATAGCTTTAAACTAACCTAATTTAGTAAACAGCAGAAATACCTCAACATGAAGGAAGAAAAAGAAACTTCAGATATCACACACAATCACAATCGCATGCACACACACAGACACACACAAAGCTGGGTTACCAAAAAAGTATATTTTTCTGAATTTTAACAACAAAAATGGGGATAGCTAAGTATTTTAAGGCAAATGAGTGTATTTTTAGTCATTTTTGAGAAACTTTTATTTTCGGAGATTTGTTCAGGATCTTATTG